CCCACTACTATTATGAACTATTATGAACTACATGGAATATTTTGCTGAATTCATGTACCTACAATATTCAAATGACAATGGAATACCTATCTCTGCCAAAAAATAAACAAAGGGGATACAAATGAACGACCATTGTGTATCTGAATATTCAAAATAGGATAGATATATAGCTACATTCTCTTAACTCAAGAAATGGAAAGATTTGTTCTGTGTTTTTAGACAGGATATTATGTCTGCATCTTGTACAATGAACAACTACTAAGACAACAATATGCAATGCATGAACTATTGAAGCTGTCCCACTAATCGATTTTGAAACTGTCTCACTGCTACTTGTTTGTCCATCAAATTATTTTTAAAAAGAATTTGATTTGTATTTAATATAGTAATAAAACAAAAAGCCAATGATACCAAGAGCCTAAAAAAAAAAAAAAAAAAAAAAATTAACGGAGTAGCTAGTTACTGAGTTCTGACTATAGGCCAGGATAGTGCTAGGGTGACACACAAGGACGAAGTACGCAGGCTTCCTTGCCTTTAAGGTATTTATGATAATAGGATAAAGACCTTAATTAGGTAATAGTCAAATAAAGAGATTACAATTATAGTACGTCAAGGAGGAAAATAAAAGGTGAAATGCAAAGAAACTAAGGGAAGGAGCTAACACATGGGGACTGCTGGGATGGCTTTTCTGGGGGACAGCTTCTACCAGACATAAAAGATGAGCAGATGAGCAGTGTGAGCTGACTGACACAGGAGGGGTGAGGCAGGGCTGGGCCTGGACGGGGCTGAGTCTTTTTATTTTGTACTAAGTCAGTGGGAAGTCACCCAAGTGAGCAGGGAAGTAACATGAAATGATTCATGTTTCATGAAGGTCTTTCTGGTTGCTGAGTAGAGAAAGGACTTGAAGGGGGAGAGAGAAGTGAGGTGGCCCTCTAGTAGGCCACAGCATATGTCTGCATGAGAGGAGCAAAGTGATGTGGCTACTTGATAGTGGAAGAGGTGGAGGAATGAAAGGACTTGAGATCTGTTTTAGAGATGAAATGACTTAAGTTGCATCCTGACTGCAGGTGTGTGTGTGTGTGTGTGTGTGTGTGTGTGTGTGTGTGTAAGTGAACTACTTGGATACAGGCATCACAAATGACGGGGAATGGTGCCATTGAGAAGGGTGCAAGTGATGAATGAACTGAAAGCAGAAAGGCTGGGTGAGATTCAAGTCCTGTGATTGCTATCTGGAGAGGCCAAGCAGACCCTTGAGATGTAGATCAATCTCACAAGAAAGGTTTGGGCTGGCCTACATGTAAACTAACTTCTTATCTTCCCTGAGAATTTCTTTATAGGTACCATACATCCCAAAGTGCACCGAACACATCTATATTGTAGGTAGTGGTGAGTATGACTACTGATGTGGGCATTACGAGGATGAACCAGCCTTCACGGGGTACATGAGGTGCACCCTGGAATCAGAAAGGAAGAAGTGGAGTTTGCCAACAAGATGCCTTACAGGGAGTCTTCTACGCATGGGTCCATACCAAATGGGAACAGAAGAGCCCCTGTCCTTGGGAGGTAACTCATAAGTCAACAGTGGGGAGAGCAGAGCAGTATACTGACAGTGGCTTTGGTATCACTGGCTGGCTTTTATTTGAATTTTGTCAGTAACTGGACAAGTTGTACTGGATGTTGCTGATTCAAAGCTGCACATTTTCTCCTATGCCTGTGTCCCTTTGCATGGCTGCTGCTGCTTTAGAAATGTTACCACCTCAGAGAAGTCTTCTGAGATGACCTAGTCTCAATCAGAATGTAAGCTCTGTCTTGTTCAACATGGTTTGCTAAAGAGTACAAATGGTAATTGAAATAATGTGAATGTTTAAATTTTTAAAAACTTACAGTAAAAAAAACACATTGTCATGATCCCCTGTCAAAATATTCCCTCTCTTCAAAAACACTTATCCCCTCATTTTGCCATTTTCTGAAGTGGTTCTGGAAGTCCTCTGTTGTGTCTTTACAAGATGTGAGAAAAATACAGTGTCATCCAATGGAAAGGCAGACTCAAAAAAAAAAAAAAAAAAAAAAATTAGTACATTGTTATCCACTTCACTTACTGGATCTGGTACCATGAGACTTCTGGCTCTTCCCCAAGGTCAAAATGCCCAGGAAAGATAAACATTTTCAATTGATTCAGGGTGTGGAGGAATCCACAGTGGCACCACTGAAGATACCAAAGACTTCTAGGACTGATTCAGAATGTAGTAAGAATGATAGGTATTCTCAAGGCAAGGGTGAGTATTTTGAGAGGGATTAAGGGCAATGTATCTTTTACTATAATAATTTTTACATATTTAAACATATACTGTATTTTTTCATTTTTGATTTTTTAAGACAGGATCCTGCTATGTAGTTCAGGCTGGCCTTAAACTCATGGTGATCCTCCTCCCTCAGCCTCCTCAATGCTGAGATTACAGGCATGTGCCATCTTGCCCTGCTCACATACTTATTTTTTAATCAGGCGTTGAACATATGTGAATCACCATTTTCTTTTAGCGGAACTGGGGATTGAACTCAGGCCCTTGCACTTGCCAGGGAAGCGTTTATTCCGCTGAGCCATTCCCCAGCTCCTGAATCACCATTTTCTACCACAGCACCTGCTTATTACCTTAATAGTATTAACTTGGGCCAGGGAGATAGCTCAGTGGAATGTTTGCCTGGCAAGCGCAAGGTCCTGAATTCGATCCCTGGTACCATTAAAAAAAAAAAAAAAAAAACCAAGTATTTACTTGACCTGGATATGTGTTTTTGAGTTGCCTCTCTCTCACAACAGATAGGAAGTTCCATGGAGACAGGGATCATGCCTGCAGCATTTCCTTCTATGTGCCCTCTGGCTGGCCTGCAGAAGTTTTCAGTAACAGTGAGTGAGTGAAGGACAGTGTGTGTCACATCGTATGCTATTTTATCTCTGACCAACAACCTGTGAGGCAGGTATCCTTATCTCCATGTTACCTGTAAAGAGGCTAAGGCTCAACTTATTCAAGGTCTCCTAGCTACTAAGGGGCAGAATAAAGATTTGAATTTAGTTTTGTTTTTTGAGTCAGGGTCTCGCTAGGTAGTTCAGGCAGGACTTGAACTCATTATGTAGTCCAGGGCGGCCTAGAACTCATGGCAATCCTCTTGACTCAGCCTCCCAAGTGTTGGGATTACAGGTGTGTACCACCACATTTGGCTCAAACATCTAAAGTTAGGTATGTAAGTCGGGCTCTGATGCTCTTAATGACTATCATATGTATGAAGCTGCTACAAAACCCCTGTAATAGGGAAGATCTTAAAGGATATTTAGGAGTCTGCTAAATGTATCAACTTGCATTTAACAAGCATTCAAAAAGTGCTTGTTGAATGGAACAGATGTCTCTGGAAGACTAAACAAACGCCACACAGTAGGGACCTGAGATCTGACATAATCTGTGGATCACTGTTTCCTACTGTGGCCCCCACTGCTGAGCAAGGCCGCGTGCTCCCATGGCCACCAGTGAGTAGGCAGCCATTTCTCTCTCTTCCTTGGGAACGTGGAGGCAGGTGGTTTTCCTTTGAGCATAAGGTCTCTGGAGCATTTCCGAAAAACCTGATCCCCGCTGCCACTGCACCACACTGTCATGTTACTGAGTCAGTGTATATTTTAGGTCCTTGCTGATGGGGTGGTTGCTCAGCAAACTGCTGCAAATGAGGATGTAATGCTATGAACAGTTCTGGGGTTTTTTTTTTTTGGATGAAAACAGAAACAGAAACAGAGATAAGAGTCAGACTTGAAAGAAGGACCACCTTCAAGTATTAAAACCTGTTCAGTTAGCACCTAATTTTCTTTCCCCTGGATAGTCAATGAATCTCAAAAACTTTGTGGCTTTTTTCATAGGGGTCAGCTCCCTTTTGGCATCTGAGTTGGTAAAGGAAGATGTGAAAATGTCAAACCACAGGTAAGTTCCTCCTTATGCATTCTCATGGCCACCACACATGGACCAGGAGACACGGGAAGTTATGGGCTCCTCCATGTAGTTGCTGCCAAGCAGACCACACTCACTCTGTGAGTGCGAAGATGGGAACGTACACTGACCTTCAAGCGGATCTTCAGGTTTTTATCTGACAGCAAGTGGATGCAGCGTTCCATCACATCCTTGGCTATCTGGATCTGTACTGGCAGAGGTGGTTCCGCATCTGGAAGGGTGTCATTCTCATCCAATTTTGGAGGGACTGATTGTTCCTCTGCAAGAAGAGCACAACTGGCAACAGTGTTTTATGATAGGTGCTCCAACCCAGCTTGGTCCTCAGCTTCTGATTTAGGAACACAACTGAGAAGAACATGTCCATGAAAGGATCTTAAGGAAACCATCTAAAATGTGGGCCAAGGGGCCGGGGAGATGGCTCAGTAGAATAAGTGCTTCCCTGGCAAGCGCAAGGGTCTGAGTTCAATCCCCGGTTCCGCCAAAAAAAAAAAAAAAAAATAAAAAAAAAAAAAAAAAAAAAAAAAAAAAAAAGTGGGCCAAGCTGTACAAGTCAAGATGTTTATGGCAGCATTAACTGTACAGCCACACGTTGGGAAGAACCCTCTTCTACGGTATGAATACGTTCCTAACGAAATTCTAGTGTTGAAAAGTCACAGCTAATTTGACAGCAGCAGAAGGTGGGGCATATAAGAAGTTATTAGGCCAGAGTTCCTCTGGTTGTGAATGGGATTTTCTGCTTCTACCACCAGGGACATAGTGCTCCTCCCTAGGGAGGACACAGTAACAAGGCACTATGTTGGAAGCAGAAAACAACCCTCACTAGATAAATGAATCTGCCAGCACCTTAATCTTGAAATTCACAGCCTCACAAGTGTGAGAAAATAAAATTCTTGTTCTTTAGAAATTATCCAGTCTTAGCTACTTTATTCTAACATCACAAATGGACTAACATACCCTCTATGTCCACTCAAGTGGGAATGGGTATATAAACCATGCTATAGCCATAAAATGGTATGTTACAAGGTTCCTAAATTTATGCTTAGTAATGATAAAATGTTTATGAAATATTGTGTTAGAAAAATATGGTATATTTTACCATGCGCACTATATAAGTTTTGAATATTTAAAATAGAAACATACAAAGGGCAGAGTTCTACTTTGGAATCTTGAGGCTGGGCCCCTCCCTAGCTGGCTTTTTTTCTGACTTCCATCCTTTTCTTCTACTTTACCCTTTGATATATATCTTCTCTGCCAGCCTTTAAGACCTTTTGGTGGCCAATATTAAGCCTCATTCATCTTTGTAGAGAGAGGAGACCAGGGAAGCCTGGTGTAGTACAAAGTGAATAAGGTTGGGTCTGAGATCAGTACAAGTCTGGCCTCCACAATCTGCAAGCAACTTCTCCTGCATTACCTCACTGGCTACAACAGGTAAAGTATATATCTCATCTGCTTGCGGGGCAGGTTAAATGTGAAGAATGTTGTCAGCTATTACTATTTTCTTACTACCTAGAGTATAGTGTTGTATGAGATAGATACATGCGTGTAACTTAAGAACACCAGAAAGATGAGAACTATATGAAACCTAGGCCAAAATCCCTATCTTGAAAAATTTTCCTCTGCTTATGCTTCCCATCCATGTCCCCAAATCCTTAATCACCAGCTGTGTTCATTGCCACTGAGCTGAGTGTCATTCCCTTAACTTTTTCTCATTTTAGTTTTCTTTGCTGGAGGAACAGAATCTTACAATAGAGCCTGCACCTGTCTCTAACAGGTATTGGAAAGATAAATGGAAATACATTTGCAAAATGCTTGGATTTCTTGGAGAAAGGGACCTTGGATATAGAAGGTACTTTTATGTGGTTAAAACAAAACACTCATGTCAATCCAGTATCAAGCCAAACATTCTTTATAATGCCAAGTACAGGGCCAGAGAGATGGCTCAGTAGAATAAGCACTTCCCTGGCAAGGGCAAGGGCCTGAGTTCAATCCACAGTTCCGCCAAAAAAACAAAAACAAACAAACAAACAAAAAACCTGTCAAGTACATGGTATATATTTGATGAATGATAATTATGTGAGTGATGGAGCTACACTTTATTTTTCCCAGAGAAAGATCTGTTATTTGACATTTACCTATTGCAGAATGTTACTTGAGAGATGTGAATTTTGTTTTTGGGTCTGTTTTGACTCAACATCTACTAGAAGCAGAAGATACTAATTATAAAGAAATGGACAGTGCTTGAATTTTATTTATTTATTAATAATTTTATTTATTTTTATTTATTGTGTGTGTGTGTGTGGCCAGTGCAGCCCACCAGGGGGCGGGGCTGGCTGGCATGTGGTGCTGGGGGATTGAACCGCGTCCCTGTGCTTTGCTTGGCTTAGCTTGTTCTAAGTAGGTGCTTTAGACCACTAAGCCATCTCACCAGCCCTTGAATTTTAAACTAGAAAGGCAAATGTAGATTTTGAAGGATCAAGGTGCTTTCCTTTCTTCAGGGCTCCCAGGTTTGGGTAAGGAGCACAATTCACAAAAAAAAAAAAAAAAGTTGTATCAAGAAACAAATGTGAGAATAAAAAGCCCAACAGATTTCTGAACAAGAAAATTCTGTCCGTGCAACGACTCATCAGACCATGTGATCTTCTGGGCTATTTAGAAAGAATTTACTGCAGTTAATGTAATAAGCCACTTGTCTTAATAACTTTTGTCATTGTGACAAAACATCCAGCGTTCACAAGCTACAGGAAAGGCTTACTTAGCTCAGTTTGTAATTTCAGTCCATAACCAGCGGCTCCAAAGCAGGGTGGGATGGCAGAGGGGCATCACAGAGCACAATTCAGGGCCTGTGGTGCTAACCAAGGTAGTAAAAGCAACAAAGGACCACAACAACATCTTTCTGCCCCTTTTACCTTATCCAGACTATTTGGGGAGGGTAGCACTCACAGCCTTACTCCCAGTGCAGTGGCAAGCAGAAACATGAAATGACACCCAGGATCTGGAGGTAGATTTATTTACATCAGGATCATTACCAGAATATCAGGTCCTGATTCCTGGGGGCTAGGGTTTATGAGGTAAGCAAGCAGGTAGTACAGAGGCAGAGTGGCTTGTCAATTGGGGAATGGTTTATACAGTGTGCACTGCAGTGACCAGCCATTTCTAAGAGACAGAAGCAACTGAAGCTGGAACAAGAACTATTACCTGGACAACTAACAAACTGAAGTATACTGGCTGAGGGTGGGTGGTGGGGCATTTTCTGCTACACTAGTGCCCTTGATCCTAGCTTTGTGCCATGAATCAATTCCAGGGCCAGATAGTCTAGATCCAGCCATCTCTGAAAAAGCCCCACCTATGACTACATGAGGCTTTGGGAGGACATCCAGATACAAGCCATAAACCACCACTATTTCCCACTATCCTGGAAGTATTGGCTTCAGTTCATTAGAATCTTAGACTACAGATTGGGGACAGGGGAAGAAAAAAAAAAAAAATCTGCTCAATTCCAACCTAACAAACTAATTTTGAACTCAGTTCGATTTAGGATAGTTCTGGAACCAGCAAGCTCATTATGACTTGGCATTTTATATTTGCAGAGGAGATTCTAATAATTTATTAATCCTTCCCCGACCTGAAGCTCCAGATTGAGTCTGAATAAAACAAGAGGCTGCTACTAGCCTGAACTCTTTTCCTTTATCATACAAATAGGAAAGAAAAACATTGGAATCTCTTCCTAGCAATAAATGAACAGATGAAGTATATGGATAAATAATGAGTTGGTGGGGGTGTCTGTTAGAAAAGAAGCATACAGAAGCCAAGAGTGGTGATGGAGGCCTATCATCCCAGCACTCTGGTTGCTGAGGCAGGAGGATCACTATGAGGCCAGCCTATGCTATATAGTGAGGTTGAGAACTGTGCAAACTACAAAGCAAGACCCTGCTTCAAAACAACAAAACAGGGGGCTGGGGAGATAGCTCAGTAGAATAAGTGCTTGCCTGGCAAGCGCAAGGGCCTGAGTTCAATCTCCTGTTCCACAAACAAAACAAAAACAACAACAAAGCATACGGAAAAAGGTTCAAATTTGCCAATAATTTAAGATATGCAAAGTCAAATAATAAGTGTAATTTTTTATACTTATAATTTAGGAAAATGGTGATTTTGCTTGGTAATTTTACTTCTACCTTGGTTTCACCAAGGTTATGGTGAAACCAGTGTTAACCCGGTTCTACTGAAGGAAAGGTATAAATCAATACCACCTAACTGAAAGGCAATTTGGTAAGGGTTAAGTAATGTTCATGTCCTTGAACCACAAGTCTCACTTTTGGAAATTTATAAAGAAATATACCCGATGGAGGAAAAGCTCACATGTACAGAATCACCTATGACAGCCCTATTTACTACAGTGAAAACTAGAAGCAAGAAAAACTTCTCCAGGGGAAGTAGACATTTAGTAATAGCTATTAAGATATTAATTATGAAATTTTTAGAGCAAGATGGAGCATTGCTTATAACTAGACACAAAAAGAGAATGATGCTGTGGCTATGGCTGCAGGGGGCTAGGGTGTAGCTCAGTGATAGTAAGCTTGCCTAGCATGCTTGAGGCCCTAGTACCATCCCTAGCACCACACAACAAAACAACACAAAAACTATGACTACAATCATGTAAAAAAAAAATTTAACTAAAAAATGATGGAAAAATATGCAAAAGATGAGAATGGTTATACTAGCATAGTGGGATTGAATGACTTTTTGAAATTTCTAAACTTTGTGGAATGATGTTTCTCTGATTTTACAACAATCAATTTTAAAAGAAAGAAATGACTAAGACAAAATAAGTAGTAATTACCTTCATCACTGTCAAAATCCAAGACATTTCCCTCCGCCACATCCTTCTCTTTGAGGTAGTCCAGCACAAACTGTTCAATGTCTTCAGCTGTGGTGTTATTCTCAAGAGTTTGGGGCAAATAATTTCCTTCCTCCTTTAAACTTTGATCTTGGGGTTGCCCAATGTAACTGTTTTCTGGGAACCACTGGGCTGTAGATAAAATGGCATAATGATCACATTGGTCATTAATAAGCCACTTTGTAAGTAGAATAAGCTCCTTGTCCTGGCCTGTGTGGCCTCCACACCATCTATTTTCTGCCTCATCTTCAAACTCATCTTCTACTACTTTAGTTGCCTGATTATTAGCGTCTCTAATGCACCAAGAATTTTCCTTCTCAGAATTTCTACATATGCTATACTTGCTGTCTTAAGTGTTTCCCTCTTAATTTATAACTAGCTAATTAGAAATCACCTTACATGTCTTAGTACGCTTGGAACTTGCCCAGTAAGCCATCTTTTCAGTCCTGCATCTAACTAGGTCACTTAAGCAAGATCTTGCTGTATAGCACTATGTTCATTCCTTTCACATCAACTCATTACAGTTTGTAACTGTATATTTTGTGTGTGCTACTTGGTATCTTAATCTTCCATTGGACTCTATACTCCAATCTATCCAGCATAGCATGGGTGCTCAAAATACATGCTGAATAAAAAAACACCTGAGATTGGAGAACAGGCAAAGTGGCAAATTCTTAATAGAGGATATCAACTCATTAGCAGAACACAAACTACTGAACTTTAAGGATGAACAGTTTCACATTGTATTTCCAACATAAAATGCTTCAGAAGCCTGGCCGTTTTCTCTCTAGAGCCTTCCCTTTGGTGATGTTCCAGTACCTCTGATAGATCATCACAGAATAAGCCTTAAAACATTGCAGACTCAAGTGGTTTTCACATTGTGCCTTGAGGGGGCTCAACAACCTCCACAGGGTGAATAGCAAGAAACAGCAGGCTAAAGGAGGATGGGGTGTCCCAGAGTCTCTGTTCCTAACACAGCAGTTCTAATTCAACTGTTCTTGTATCTGGAATCCCCTCAAAACTTCATTTCAAGAGTGGCTCTTAATATTTAAATTGCTACTCTGGTCCAGCACCCTTTCTGTAGATAGCAGAGAAAGACTTTGATGACCTTTACCACCTGCTCATCTCCTTCTCATCAAGGAGCATCTGCAGAGCCAGAGTAACAGCAGATGGGAAATGATGAGGCCAGGCAATTGGGAGTAGCTAAGAGCAAGTGTCTGAGATGAGATCCTTCAATCCAGTATCTGGAGGTTCCTGTATATAGGGACCAATTACAACATTTCTTAAAGCACCATTCCCAGGAATAAATCAGGTATCTAGTGCACTCTAAGGAATTGGTTCCCAAACAGTTAAAGCCTGGACCCAGCATTCATATGGCTAGTATTAGATGCTGTATAGAGATTATTTCTAGATTCCAGGCTAGTGCCAGACATTAAAATATCTTTGCTCACAAATGGCTTTTAAACATATAAAAAGAAGCTCAACCCCACTCTTAATGCAAATTAAAACTATAATAAGGTGCTATTCTTCTACTATCAGATTAGCAAAGATCAAAAGCTTGGTAATGTACAGTGTGGGTGAGGGCGTGGCAAAATTGCCACTCTTTTACATTGCTGATGGAGTTTAAATTGGTATAACCTGTTAGGAGAGCAATTAGATACTCTCAATCAAAAATTAAAATGTAATACCCTTTTAAACCAGCATTTCTTTCGGGAATTTAATCTACTCATATATAGCATATAGGGGCATGTTCAAAAAGACCCACAAGCATATTCACTGAATTTTTTTTTTCTTCTTCTTGTGGTGTCAAAAGATTAGAAGCAGGTGGGGAACTACCCCGCTCGGCCCCTCTCCTGTCCCTCTCTTGGACAGGAGCTTTCTTTCTCTCAATAAATATTCTGCTCATAAAAAAAAAAAAAAAAGAAAAAAAAAAAAAAAGATTAGAAGCTACCAAAATGCCTACCAAGACAGGACTGGTTAAATAACCTAAGGTGCAGCCACAGTGGGATATGACACAGCCATAAAAATGAAACAGCCCTCTCTGTATGTGCTACCTCCTCAGCCCTTTTCATTTTTTCATTTTTGACTCTGGGTCTAAGTTGCCCAGGCTGGCCTCAAACTTGCAATCCTCTTGCTTTTAGCCTTGAGTAGCTGAGATTAAAGGCATGCACCACCATGCCTGGTTACCTGATGGTTCTTTCTTTCTTAGTTTATGCATGTAAAACAACTGCGTATGTAACTTAATTTCCTTAAACACATACTGGGCTTTAACACCTATCAGCTCTCTGACTGCACATCCCCTTCATTTTATATATTTATTTACAGACAAAATTGAGCATAGCTTTTCTGTAAGTTTTGAAATAACCCATATATGGGTTATTTCAAAACTTACAGAAAAGCTATGCTCAATTTTGCATGTATTCCTAGGATGTTTCAGAGTTGATTTTAACCATCCTTAGCTTCCTTTCTGCAAGAGACCCTCCTTCTTTAACTAAAACAAAAAAAGGGCTGCATATGATTATATCATTCTTTCAGAGATGACCAAAGACACCAGCAATCTAAGGCAATTCAATTTTCTTTTTCTTTTCTTTTTTTTTTTTTTTAAACATTTTTTTTTTAATTTTATTTATTTATTTATTTATTTGTGTGTGGCCCGCTCAGCCCACCAGGGGGCGGGGCGGGCTGGCATGTGGTGCTGGGGGATTGAACCATGGTCCCTGTGCTTTGCTAAGCTTGTTCTGAGTAGGTGCTTTAGACCACTGAGCCATCTCACCAGCCCCGGCAATTCAATTTTCAAGACTTAAATTGAGGCATCTTGCAAGAGGATGTATTTCATAGGCCTTCTGAATTTGTTTAAATCATAAATTGAAATGTAGTATAGCTCCTCAAGTGGTAAAGGTGGGTCTCTTTGTGCCTAAGCGGCCAGGCAGTCTGAGGAGGGGCTCTGTGAGGGCAGGCCCTGGGGAGTCTTCTTTGTAGCTGCCTTCCCACTGCTTACTGGCCACAATATGGGCTTATGAATGACTGCAAAGTTAAGTCCAAACTCCTTCTTTTGGTCTGTATGGTCCTGCAAGATTTGCCCTCTTTTCCAATTTCATCTTGTACTAATCTCTTTTCCATTCTCTAAATACCACCACCCCTTTCTTTATTCAGGGTTTTCACACCTGTGGCTCCATTTTGCTGAATGGTCTTACAAGTCATAAAAACAATGGTAAGACCCATCCTTACCTTCACTGTAAAATAATTTTACAGTGAAGCATCAGCTGTGCTGTACATATATGGGTTCTTTTTATCCTTCCTAAATACTCAATTTAAAGTGGGTGTCCTGGTTATTCCCATGCATCAAGGTGTTTATTTTCTTCTCAGTGCTTATCTGTGTCTGGAGTGAGCTTGTTTAATGATTTGTTTACTTGTTTACTATCTCTCTTGCAGTAGGAGGAAAATTCTCTAAGTTTATTCATCTTGTTCACTGCAGTCCCTTATTACTTAGCACAGTATCTGACATATGGCAGGCACTCTTTATTGAAGAAGAAAATTTATGCTACAAGAAATGTTCAGGAATGAAGGAACACTGAAAATGTTCCTATAGGGCAGAGCACAGACCCTGCTCCAGATACCTTCTCTGAGAAACTTTCTTACATGTTCTTGACTTTTTCACCTGATAAAAATGAAGAACCTTTGTACTTGCCTCAGAGGCTATTAGCAGTACTGAAATAAATACTGCATATCAGCTTTCTGGATAAAAGGCACCCAGGGTTATAGCTTGTATTTTCATTCAAAGATTGTCCAGTTCAGAGACTCTTTTGTTTACAGAAAATGTTCCCATTCTGTTAGTGGGCTAGCATCTCCAACAGGAATATATGCAGATCAAATGGAAGATGAGAAGTGTAAATCAATTCACACAACTTAAAGGTTAAAAAGAACATTTTAGATCTGTTCTGTCTGGTATAATACATGTGCTACATGTTACTGTATGTGAGTGCTAAAATTAAACAATACTGAAACTTCAATTCCCAGTAGTATTAGCCATACGTAGCTAGTAGCTATTGTATTGAACGGAATAGAAATATAGATAGAGTATTACCATCATCACAGAAAGTTCTGTTGGACAGTGCTGTTCTAACCATCTGTGGAATGAATAATTCATGCTATTTCTGTTCTCCATTAGCATAGATACTGCTAACTCTACTATCAGCAGCAGCAGGTTGGTGTATTGGAAAGAATAAAATTGTCATAAATCCTGACTTTATCCCATATTGTATGACCCTGGCTAAGCAGCATCTCATTGGGCCTGAGTTTTTTCTTGTTTATAAAATAAAAATAATGTTGATATTTAGCCCATAAGGTTTATATCCTTGGCACAGAGTAGGCACAATAAATAGTAGATTATTGAAAGCATAAAAAATAAACAATG